AGCAGGCAAACTGCAAAAGAGAAATTGCTTCTACTCCATCTCTCTTTCACACAAAAAGCCATAACCCCAGGGAGTCATCGCCCAGCTACCACCTGACTGAACGTTTTGACTCCACCCTGACCTCAACACGGGTCCAGTCAAGTTGACCATCTAACAGCCACCCAGACGCTAGGAGAAGGCATCCTTTGAAATACTATTTGAGTGTGCAGGGGGTGAGATTTGAAACAGCAGTGAGGAACAGTTACTTTCGGGTTAAAGCATATGTGCTGCACAGGTGTCCGCTCCTGCTGTTCTAAACTTTTTTTTAAAATCATTTTATTAGGGGCTCATACAACTCTTTTTTTTTAAATCGTTTTATTAGAGGCTCATACAACTCTCATCACAATCCATACACACATCAGTTGTGTAAAGCACATTTGTACATTCATTGCCCTCATCATTCTCAAAACATTTGCTCTCCACTTAAGCCCCCGGCATCAGGTCCTCATTTTTCCCCTCCCTCCCCTCTCCCCCTTGTTGCTCTAAACTTATCGATCCCAATGTGGCTGGCAAATGAGGTAGGTCTGGGTTCTCCTGCCCCTGTTTCAGCTAAAGACAAAGACCAAGTGGATTTGAGAGACTTGTAAGTTTATTCAGAAAGGAGAAGAAGAAGGAAACACTGGGGTTTCCTATCTACAAACCCTATCAAAAATCCAATGAAGAGAGCAAATTGCATACCTTCTAGTGCGTGAGGGCAGGAGATTTCCACAATGAGCACCGGAGAAGACTGTGGTTCTCGTGGTTGTTAGATGCCATCTCGTCTGCTCCTATTGCCAGTGACCCTGTGTACACCTGAACTCGGCACGGCCCAGTCCTGGACCACCCTCTGCATTGTTCCCGTGCCTCAGCCATTGTTGCAGCCACTGGGTCAGTCCAGCTTATGGAGGGCCGTCCTCTGTTTCATTGCCCGTCTTCTTCACAAAGCACCGAGTTCTTCTCCAGGAACTGGACTTTCCTGATGGTCTCTTCAAAAGTCTGCCATTCTTGCTTCCAAGGAACAATGTCTGTATTCCTTCTGTGACAGGACCGTTTGTCCTCTGAGAAGTCAGTCCATAGTACTTTCGTAATCTTCTCCGGAACCATGATTCCAGTGCATCGATCTTCTTGATACAGTGTCTAACTTTCACATGCATTTAAGGCGATTGAAAAAGCCATGGCTTGTGTCAGGGACAGCTTCATCCTAAAAATAGCACCCTTGCTTTTCCATACTCTAAAGAGGTCTGTGCAGCACATATACCTAATTCTAAAAGCTGCAATAATCGGTCTTCATCAGCAAGTCCTTAACATCCTGGTCACTTTCAGAAAGCAAGGTCATGCCACTGGCCTATGGCAGGTTGTTCATAAGCCTTCATCCAATCCTGATGCCAGAGTCTTCTGCATCGGACCCAGCTTCAGCACCAGATGGATCAAGTGTGGTGAGAGGATACAACCGTGACACGGACCTTTCCTGATTCTGTGCCATGCCGCATTCCCTTGTTCTCGTCTCCCAGCTGCCTCTTGATCCAGGCAGTCGTTCCACAAGAGCACAATGACGTGCTCCTGAATTCACATCCTTCTCCTCAACGTCCTGATCCACAATTTATTATGGTCTACACCATCGAGTGCCTTTGCCTAGTCAGTGAAACCCAAGTAGACATCTTTCTGGTATTCTCTACTTTGAGCCAAGATCCATCTGACAACAGAAATGGTACCTGTTATGCCAAGTTTTCTTCTCAATCTGGCCTGACCCTCTCACAGCTCCCTGTCTGTGTACTGGTGCAAGCATTGTTGATGATCTTCAGCGACGTCTTACTCGAATGTGCTATCAGTGACATTGTTCTGTAGTGGGGGCGTTCTGTTGGGTCACCTTTCTTGGAATGGGTGCACATGTGGATCTCTTCATGTCAGTTGGCCAAGTAGCTGTCTTGTGAATTTCTTGACCTACATGAGTGAGCGCTTCCAGTGCTTCACCAGCTTGCCGAAGCCTTTCAATCGGTACTTCGTCAATCCTGGAGCTATGTTTTAAGCTAATTCTTTCTGTGCAGCTTGAGGTTCTTCCTGCAGTCCCATGTGCTACCTCTGGAAACGATGCACTGTGGACACCTTCTTCTGGGTACAGTGGCTGTGTGTTCTTCCCATCCTCTTTTGATGCTCCCTCCATCATTCAGGGTTTTGCAACCTCTCTGTATTGCACCGTTGGGTATACATTTTTCTTGAGTTCTTTCAGTTTAAGATACGCTACTTGTGTTCTTCCTTTTAGTTTTCTAATTCTAGGCCTTTGCGCACTTCATCATAGTATTTGACTTTGTCCGCTCGATCTACCCATGGAAATTTTCCATTCGGCTCCTTGACTTCACGCTTTCTTCCGTGTGTTTTAGCTACTTTGTGATTAAGAGCATGTTTCAGGGTCTCTTCTGACGTCCCTCTTGATCCTTTCTTGCTCTCCTGTCTTTTTAATGACTTTTATTTTCTTCGTGAATGATGGTTTTAATATATTCCCTCCCACAGCTCAACAGGTCTTCTGTCCTTAGTGATCAAGGCAGCAAATCTATTTGAGATGTTCTCAACATTGAGATGGGAAGCACTCGAGGTTGTATTTTGGCTGATGGATTTGTTTTAATTTTCTCCATCTTTATCCTGCGCTTACCTACGAGCAATTGATGATCTGTTCCCCAGTCATCACTTCATCTCTTCTGACAGGTTGTCAATTGTTTTCCAGTGTGTTTGTTCCATTTGGAGAAGCCCACATGTATGGTTGCCCTTTGTCTTACTGAAAAAAGGTATTTGCTGTGAAGAAGTCATTGATGTTACAACATTCTATCCTGTGATCTCCAGCTTCTTCTGTTACAAGTCCATAGTTCCCAACTGCGGTCCCTTCTGCTTTGTTTCCCACTCTTTCATTCCAGTCCCCAATAACACCAACGCCTCTAGAGGACGTGTTTCATCAATTTCTGACTAGAGATATCTATCAGCTTTTTACTAGTTTTAGTGGTTAAATAAATTTGATTAATAGTTGTATTTATTGGATTTCTTTGAAAGTGGATAGATACAATCCTATTCCAGACAGCTTTGTATTTCTTTTTTTTTCCCCATACAAAAGTCATTTATTTATTTAAGAAAAATCATTTTATTGGGGGCTCAGACAAGTCTTTTTTTTTTTTTTTTTGAAGCTTTGTATTTCTTGATAGATTTTGAAATGCCATTTTTGACAGTCCATACCATGCTTTCTCTTTTGTGTTATTCCCAACGTAGTAAATCATATGCTTTCCTTATTCAAAATGGCCAATACCGCTACATTTGCATACACTAGCGCCTATGATGTTGATCTTTATGCGTTCCTTTTCATTTTAATGACAACTCCCAATTTTCTTAGAATCACACTTAGCACATTCTAATTTCTTCTTACGAGCAGATTTTTACAGCTCTTTCTTCTTGCATTGAGTCATGCCCTCAGCAAATGAACATTCTGAAGGTGCCCAAACACCAGCCTTTACTCTATTTTCATCGCTGTGGCAGCCTCTACTTTGAGAAAGCATCTCCACCTCAGGCACATTTCAATTACCATCTGACCCAAGAGCCCCTCCTGGCACTGTCTCCCACAATGGTCTGCTGCTATACCTTAGGCCTTCAGCCTCTGGCAGTCTTCTGCAGCTGCACCTGGGGTTGTGAGCAGCTACTTCCTTCTAAGTCAGCTGGTGATTTCTTTGTCTGTTCTTAGCCTGAAAGCTCAGTTGAAACCTATTCACTTGGGGTGTCCTGCTCGACCTTGAAATACCAGCGACATAACTTGCACATCAGAGCCACACAGAAACCACCAGAGTAGGACAAACTGACAGATAAGTAGTGGCAGGAACATTTTAGCAATTTCTCACAAGGATCCTTTGAAATGATACCTACATATTCCGAGAGCATGAGACAAAAACACCCTAAAGTCTCCTGCATCCTAGTTAAACTAAATTGGGCCATGCTTCTGTGTCTGGCCTCAAAGGTCTCTGAATGGGGCCTGTTTTCTACCTGGTACTTTATCTTAGTAGCCTGTTCTGTGCCTTACTGAGCTCCGACATCCCTACTGATGGAGCAGATTCTTTGAGTCTGCGAGTGGGCTGTTACCCTTTGTATTTTTAAAACACTAAATCTTTTTTTTTTTTTTAATCAATTTATTGGGGCTCCTACAATTCATCACAATACATAGATCAATTGTGTAAAGCACATC